CCAAAGAACAGCAACATAACCACAAGAAAATTAAATCAATCATAGCAATTCATCAACCACCGATAGAACAACGAAAATCTGCTCAGACATCATAGGATGGCAACACATCATTGAATAATAATATGAAGTATAAAGCACCATGTTCAAGTAGAGGGTACAACGGGTTGCGGGAGAGTGGACCGCTGTAGATAGAGGGGGGAAGGTGATGGAGATGTTGGTGAAGATGGCGGAGCTGTTGGTGTAGATTGCGGTGATGATGATGGCCCCCGACGGCGTTCCGGCGCCATCGGAAGAGAGGGGGAGAGAGCCCCCTCTTTCTTCTTCTTCCTTGACCTTCTCCCTAGATGGGAGAAGGGTTTCCCCTCTGGTCCATGGCCTCCATGGAGGCGGAGGGGCGAGAGCCCCTCTCTCTGTTTCTGCGCTATCAGATTCTGCCCTTTCACCGTTTCTTATATTTCTGGAGATCCGTAACACTGATTGGGCTGAAATTTTAACAGGATCTCTATCCGGATATTAGCTTTCTTGCGGCAAAAGAAGGGCATCAACCGCCTTATGGGGTGGCCACGAGGGCCCAGGGCGCGCCCTGCCTCGTGGCCCCCTCGGGCATCGTCTCGCGTTGATTTTTCTTCCCAAAAATCACATATATTCCAAAAAAATCTCCATTAGTTTTTATCCCATTTGGACTCCGTTTGATATGGATTTACTGCGAAACAAAAAATATGCAACAAATAGGAACTGGTACTGGGCACTGAATCAATATGTTAGTCCCAAAAATAGTATAAAAAGTTACCAAAAGTATATGAAAGTTGTAGAATATTGGCATGGAACAATAAAAAATTATAGATACGACAGAGACGTATCATGGAGTTGTGCAGAACAGGTCTCTAATATTTGCTTCTTTTCCAGCCCAGAATTCCAGCTGTCGGCATTCTCCCTCTTGGTGTAAACCTTGTAAAATAAGAGAGAATATGCATAAGTATTGTGACATAATGTGTAATAACAGCCCATAATGCAATAAATATCAATATTTTATGAATTTATGAACACATTTTGAAAATCGAGATATATTCTAAATCGGTGAAAATTTTCAAATCCACAAGCGCTCGTCCGACCCAAGAGACGCCTGATGGGAGCGTTGTCGTTGCCTAGTTGGGCCAAGGCATAAGCGTTCTTTTTTCTATTTTTTTCATTTTTCTTGTCTTTTTCGTTAATTCACTTTTCTCCTTTTTGAACTTTATTATTCTTTTTGAAACATGTCCAGAAATTTGAAATACTTGTTGGAATACCAAAATAACAATTTATTAAATGCTTTTAAGAAATATTTACTATTTAAATTATGATTTTAAATACATTTTTCCTGCAAACCCGATGAAAAAGGTGAATAAATGTCCAGGCGTGTTGTAACTTGAATACGATGTCGGAAATCTTTCAAACCTGACATGGATGCCTCCAATGGTCATGCCCACCAGCTTGCAAAAGTTAGAGTCATTTCAAGGATGTCCAAAAGTAGACCATGTTGAGCGGAGGGGGTTCAGGTAGGATAGAAAGTTCCATTTGTATGCACGTTGTTTCTCAACATCCTTGAAATGGCTCAAAAAAATTCCATGACTTTGTATGACTAATTCAAGACATCATGCCAAGTTTTTTGGGTTTTTGACAAATTTTGCATTTTCTGGTGTTTTTCCGGTGAAAAGAGGCTGATGAATGCGAGGACATGTCGTAACTTGCATATAGGCTGTGTCAAAAATTGTGAAACTTGACATGAATGCCTACAATGGGCATGCCCACCAACTTGCAAAAGTTGGAGTCATTTCAAGAATGTCCAAAAATGGACCATATTGAACGGAGGGTGTTCGGATAGGCTAGAATGTTCCGTCTGGGAGCACGTTGTTTCTCGGCATCCTTGAAATGGCTCAAGAAAATTTCTATGGCATTGATAACCAATTCAAGACACCATGTCAAGTTGTTGGGTTTTTGACAATTTTTGTATTTTTTGAAGTTTTCCCGGTGACAAAAAGCCGATAAATGATCGGACGTGTCGCAACTTACATACGGTGTTGGAAATCATTCAAAACTGACATGTATGCATACAATGGGCATGCCCACCTGCTAAAAAAAGTCGGGGTCATTTTAAGGATGTCCAAATAAACCATGATGAACGGAGGGTGTTCGGGTGCGAGAAGGCTCCGTCCGGGAGCACGTTGTTTCTCGACATCCTTGAAATGCCCCCATTTTTTCCATGGCCTTGTATGATGAATTTAAGGCACCAACCATGTTTTTGGGGTTTTTAATAAGTTTTGCATTCTGGAGTTTTCCCGGTGAAAAAGGCGGATAAATGGCCGGACGTGTCGCAAATTACATATGATGTTGGAAAATCGTTTAAACCTGGCATGGATTCCTACCATGGGCATGCCCAGCTTCCTACAAAAGTTGGTTCATTTCAAGGATGTCCAAAACTAGACCATATTCAACAGAGGGTGTTCGGGTAGACGAGAAGGGTCTGTCTGACATGTTGTTTCTTGACATCTTTGAAATGGCCCAAAATTTTTCCATGGCCTTGGATGACCAATTCAAGGCATCACGCCAAGTTGTTTGAGTTTTCAATAAGTTTTGCATTTTCTGGAGTTTTCTCGATGAAAAAAGGCTGATAAATGGCTGGACATGTCGTAACCTTACCCGATTGGAAATCATTCAAACCTAGCATGAATTCCTACCATGGGCATGTCCATCTTCCTGTAAAAGTTGGGTTCATTTTAATGATGTCCAAAACTAGACCATGTTCAACAGAGTGTTTGGGTAGGCGTGATTCCTACCAATGGCCCTAATTTTTGAGCATCCACGAAATGATCCCAACTTCCGCAGGCAGGTGGGCATGCCCATCGTAGGCATCCATGTCAAGTTTAAACGATTTCTAAATGTATGCAAGTTGCGACACATCCGGCCATCAACCAACCTTTTTTGATTGAGAAAAACTCCAGAAAATGCAAAATTAGACGAAAACCAAAACAACTTGCATGGTGCCTTGAATTGTCCATACAAGCCAATGAATAAAAAGTGGGGCCATTTGACGGATGTCGACAAACAACGTACTCTCAAACGTAGCCTTCAGGCCTCTGACCGAACACCCTCTGTTAAACATGGGTTATTTTTGGACATTTTTGAAATGACCCCAACTTTTGCAAGCAAGTGAGCATACACATGGTAGGCATCCATGTTAGGTTTGAACGAGTTTCGACACCGTATGCAAGTTGCGATATGTCCGACCATTTATCGGTCTTTTTGATCGAGAAAACTCCAAAAACTGGAAAAGTAGTGAAAAACGTAAGCAACTTGGCATGGCGACTTGACTTGGTCATATAAGACCATGGAAAAAATTGAGGCTATTTGATGGATGTTAGAAAAAAAGTGCTCTCGAACGGAGCCTTTTGGCCTATTCGGGCACCCTACATTGAACATGGTGTTTTTTTTTAACATTCTTGAAATGACCTTAACTTTTGCCATCAGGTTGGCATGTAGATGATGGGCATCCATGTCAAGTTTGAATGACTTTCGACACTATATGCATGTTGTTACATGATCGGTCCTTTATCGACCTTTTTTCATCGAGAAAACTCCAGAAATTACCAAACTTGTTGGAACCCAAATAATTTGGCATGGGGTCTTGAATTGGTCATATAAGGCAAAAACAAATTGTTTGCAAATTTAAAAAAAATGTTTGGGGAGTTCAAATAATGTTCACGCTGTTCAGAATTTAAAAAATGTTCTTTTTTTCAAAATAAATAAATAAATCTACACAAATGCCAAAAATGTTGGCGGAAATTAAAGGTTTCACATTTTTGTTCGTATTTTTCTATGGTGGCAAGAATTGCTCTGAAGCTCTTAAAAATACGCACAGATGAAAATGCTTCTGTTGAGCAATATGCTTCCGCCACACTACAAAGTACATGCTTTCATCGGTCAAAAGGAATGTTTTCATGGCACGAAAGCTGTTTTTGCCATGACATAAAATTTGTCTAAAGAAGTGTAGTAGATTTTTTTGAGGGCAAAAGTGTAGTAGATATTATTTGATGTGTATGCGTCTATCTTTGAAAGGTTACTCTCACTAGTTAGCTAGTAGCTTGTTTTCTCAGGTCCTACTTCACGGGATCTCGGATCACATAGGTTGAGTTACCTTCATGGCAACTTAAGTGGGTCTCATACCCACCTCCCTCAGTTTTTCTCAATTTTATTTTTTACAAATCCTGAAAATGTATACCCTAATTCAGATATTTCAGTTTTATGCCTCTATCGTCCACATGTGGACAGAAGAGGAACCCTTCGTTCTTTCGTAGGCCGGATCACCTCATCCAACGCGTGGTCGAAGATACCCTCCCCGGTCGCCTGTGGGCCGAAGAGCGGTCTTTGCTAGGCAGTGGGCCAAAGAGATGACCTTCAGCTGCATCGAGACCGAAGAAGCGGTCTTTGTTCAACACATGAACAAAGAAATTGGGATATGTCACGACCGTCTTCTTCCCCCCGACGCTTGCTCATTTCTCTATCTCTCTCTTTCCTTCGCGGTTTTTTGCTGGATTCGCCTCCATTTCGCGACTCAAGATTCTTGCTGCGAGCATCAATTGGTTTCACTCAAGTATGATGTTGTAGGTAGTGTTGGAGGATGCCTTTCAGGCTGGTTCCATTTTAGGTTGAATTTGCTGATTTGAGTTAAACCGTGTTTGTACTCGTCCGGTCAATCACTTATTAGACTGCTGGCGAGCTCCTTCATGACTACGTTTGCTGTGGTTTCATTCAACAAAATGGGTGGATTTCAGAAAGAAAGAAAGAAAGAAAAGGAGCTACGAGGCTGCCATGTGGACCCAAAATGAGGTGGCAGCCCACAAAACAATCTCACTCGCCAAACTGCTGGTAGTTCTCCTCTCTGTTCCCGACTTCCCTCCCTCCCTTCGCCCCACCTCCCCTCCCAGATCCGATCCGCCCCGCCGGTCGCCGGCCGGAGCACCGCCATGGCGCTCAGCCTCCGCAAGAAGCAGCTCGGTAAGCTCCAAAGCGTCCCGCGGCGCTCCCCCCAGTCCCATCACCGCTGGCAGCTGTCCCCTGATTGACAACTGTGTTGCGTGTCTGATCCAGATTTGATCACGCGGATGCTCCACCTGAACCAGCAGCAGCCGTCGCCGGACGGCGGCGGCGGCGGGGAGGGCGACGAGGAGGCGTACAAGATCCTGGTGATGGACGGGCCCTGCATCTCGCTCCTCTCGCCGGTGCTCCGCGTCGGCGACCTCCGCAAGCACGGCGTCACCCTCCACCTCAACATCGACAAGGCGCGCCAGCAGGTCGCCGACGCGCCCGCGGTCTACCTCGTCCGCCCCACGCCCGCCAACGCCGACCGCATCGCCGCCGACGCCGCCGCGGGGCTCTACGCCTCCTTCCACGTCAACTTCTCCACCTCCGTCCCGCGGCCCGTCCTCGACCGCCTCGCCGCCGCCACCGCCGCGTCCCGCTCCGCGCACCGCGTCGCCCGCGTCGCCGACCAGTACCTCGACTTCGTCTGCCTCGAGGACGGCCTCTTCTCCCTCGCCCAGCCGCGCGCCTACGTCGCCCTCAACGACCCGGCCGCCGCCGATTCCGACATCACCTCACTCGTCGAGGCAGTCGCGCTCGGCCTCTTCTGCGTCGTCGCCACGCTCGGCGCCGTGCCCATCATCAGGTGCGCCCGCGGCGGGCCGGCCGAGATGGTGGCCGCCGCGCTGGACGCCCGCCTTCGAGATCACCTCCTAGCCAAGCCAAACCTGTTCACGGAGGCTGCATCCAGTGCCGCCTCGTCGTTCCAGCGCCCGGTCCTCTGCCTGTTTGACAGGAATTTCGAGCTGTCGGTGGGGATACAGCACGATTGGAGCTACCGCCCGTTGGTCCACGACGTGCTGAGCTTCAAGCTCAACAAGCTGAAGTTGCCGACAGAGAAGTATGATCTCGATGACTCTGACCCATTTTGGGTGGCAAACAGCTGGTCGCCGTTTCCGAAAGTGGCCGAGGAGATAGAAGCGCAGCTCGCCAAGTACAAGCAGGATGTGGACGAGGTGAACCAGCGCACCGGTGGCGGTAGGGATGGGGTTGAGTTTGATGGAACAGATCTCATTGGCAACACCAAGCACCTCATGAATGCGGTGAACTCGCTCCCGGAGCTGACCGAACGGAAGAAGATGATCGATAAACACACGAATATTGCAACTGCGCTGCTTGGCCACATCAAGGAGAGGTCTCTGGATGGATACTATGAGTGTGAGAATGACATGCTCGTGAATGGTACTGTGGATCGGAACATGCTGCTGAGTCTACTCAGAGGGAAGGGCACCAAGGAGGACAAGCTCCGTCTGGCCGTTACCTACCTGCTATCATTTGAGGCACCACTGGCATCTGAACTTGAGCAGGTTGAGGCTGCGCTGCGGGAGTCAGAAGTAGACATGTCTGCGTTCCAGTATGTGAAGAGGATAAAGTCGTTGAACACTCAATTTGCTGCTGCATCAAGCACGGCAAGCAGGAGCAACATTGTTGACTGGGCAGAGAAGCTTTACGGACAGTCCATTAGTGCCGTGACAGCAGGCGTGAAGAATCTCTTGTCGGATGGGAGGCAGCTGGCTCTTACTAGGACTGTCGAAGCCCTCATGGAAGGGAAACCAAACCCAGAGGTGGACAACTACCTACTGTTCGATCCACGGGCCCCTAGATCAGGAACTGGTGGGCAGTTTAGAGGACCCTTCAGAGAAGCCATTGTTTTCATGATTGGTGGTGGAAATTACATCGAGTATAGGAGCTTAGTTGAGCTAGGGCAGCGCTCACAGCCTTCAAAGCATGTCATATATGGAGCAACGGAGATTCTCAATGGGGTGGAATTTATTCAGCAGCTCGCAGAACTGGGACAGAAAGCGGGATTAGGTGGTGGCGGCAGCAGCAACCTACCACCGCAGTAAATACGCTCTTACCAGATGTTTTGATGCTAAGGTGGGATTGTTGAAGCTTCACAGGTTGCAGTAAATAGTCTCTTGCCGACACTTGATGCTACTAAGGAGTGATCCAGGCTGCATAGACTAATGTGTAATGGTATCAAATTTCCCTGTTGTCGGGTTTATGGCGCTGCTTTGAATGAATTATCAATACAAAGATTTCTTGCCAGAGTTCAACTGTTCCAGAAGTCCAATATGTTGAAATGTCCATGTATGCTCGTTTCTTTTTTTTTTTCTTTTGGCCCCTTTTGAGAAATGTTAGTGGAATCTTGTTTGAACATCCCTACAATCAATTCATGGAATCTTAGAACACCTTTTCTGATTTTTTTTGAGAAATTGAGTTTGTTAGTGTTTCTTATGAATATCAGTCAAATGTTCCTTCTGAGACAATATGCATGGTTCACCACTCTGGGGATTTCTGTGTGCCTGTGGCAATAATAATAACATATAGGCCTTCAGTGCTAACCAAGCAGAAGCGCATATTACTGAAAGCATGCAGCAATGAATTAGTTGCACCTGAATAGAAAGGCATTAACAGCTGTATGTTTCAGGTGAGTTGTGATGTGTGCAGCACAATATATCTTGTTCTGTGGAGTCAATGGATTAGTATGCAATGCCACATTTTGTGAGGATGCATATTTGCTGCATATTTTTAGCTTTGTTTCCAGAACTCTATTACGCTGATTTGACATATATTTCAGGAGAAAATGCTAGAAAGACCATATTATTTTGTGCACAACCTCTGGAATTCAATTCATGGTAGTAAATGAGGGACTATGAGAAATCCTCACTACGGGGATATCTAACTGAAGCACTACATAGTGCCCGTTCGGAGCCCCTCCGCTCCACAACTCTGCCACAGAGCGGAGCGGGCTGCAGTTCAAATTTCCAGAGCGGTGGAATAGGTGCTCCTGCTCCGCCAGATTCGTGGAGCTGGTGGATTACCAAACAGGCCCATAATATACGGGCTGTTTCAGTTGTAATTGTGACTGCAAATTGCATGGAAACACATGAATTAGTTATGTTCTCTGAATGACAATATTACTGAAAGAGCATGATCCTTCCTAGTGCTGTTGGCTGATACACCATGCAAACTTCTTTTGGTTTTGATCGCGGATGGTTCTCATGTGGTTGCTGATACACCATATGCTGAAGTGGTGGAAGTCATGAAAATGTGCATGCCACTGTTACTACCGGCCTCTGGTGTCATTCACTTTGTCATGTCTGAGGGTCAGGCCATGCAGGTTCGTTTCTTCGCTCCCCCCTTGGTTGTATGTTAACAGCGCTAAATGTACATTCTGGCTAGAGCAATTTATGCTTGTATTGTAATATGCGTGCATCTTTCAAATATGAGTTGAAATGGCTGTCTTTGTGCAGGCGAGTGGCCTGATAGCAAGGTGGGATCTTGTTGACCCATCCACAGTAGGTTTCTGTTCTTTCAATAAGCATTTTCTGGTTCTAATCGTAGGGTACTAGTGCACATATTACACATTGATGGTCCATGGTTAGCAGAAAAAAATTTAGGTACCCGCAGAAGCTGACTCACGCAGGTTATTTAAAAATGAACTTTTATGGCTTAAACGTTTGAAATCCCCACTGTGTGAAATCATACATTTGCGCTGCTGCAAAATGCATTACATTGATTGTGTGTTTTGTGGGAGGGGTTTGGGATAAATATTTTCTATGTTATCTTTCATCTTTGGTCCTTCTAAAATATATGACCTTTTATGCCTGACCTCAGTCAGAGCTGAGAGAAACGAGCCCTAGATGCAATACTCTGTTATTTAGGCAGCACATTTCTTTTCTTCCTTGGAGAACTATAAATGGTAAATGCGGTGCACAAATATCTGCTGGCAGATTACTTCATATTCTTGGGGCATTGTTAACTGTTGCTTGTGGACTCGTTCTGGATGTACCAATGTCCACAATAATTGTCATCTACAAGACTACAAGTGCCCTGTGATGCTTTTCAAATGGTGGAAACGACTGATCAAGGATTTGATTGGGAGAGAAGTACTGAAGTAGTACTTTTTTAAAGTGTGCCATTTGTAGGTCTTGCTATTCTTCTCTGGCCATTTGCGGTACTAGGGGTCTGTCCTTGCATGCATCCATACTCTACAGCATTCCTTTAGGCACGTATGGTGCAGTTGTTGCTTACCAGGTATGGCAAATTGTACTTCCACCACAAATTATCATCTAGTGACAACTATTAGGCGATATATCTTTCTTCTTGTCGAAGTCACAAAGCTTGCTCGTGTTGATTTATCAGGAATCCTATGTAGTCACCAGACTCTTACTATGATGTCTCATCTGTGTCCATCCTTGATGAGTACACGAATGATGTATGTGCTTGGCATGGCATCGGGATCTTGCTTTGCAAGGTATAACCATAAACAATATCGCATGCCTTTGGATCAGATCCTAGATAACTTAGGGTTTCTGGTTCTGATGTTTGAACTCTCTTAGGTTGAAATGTCGGGAAAAATGAAAGTTGTTCACCTATCTAAGCCGGGCTAATTCGACAAGGAGAAGTAAAAAGGCAAAAAAACCTCTAGCACGTGTTACATCATTTAAGAACGACATGGATGAGTTCAACCAATTCACTGTTATCTTTTCTTCATTGATAACCTAGAATGCTTTCATATTCTTGTGGCAAATTTCACTTTTGTGCAGTCCAGCAGGAACAACAAATACAAATGTTGAGAATAGGTCATTCGGTTTTCGTAATGTCACCGTGCACTGCTATCTGTTCCTTGATAATATTTGATCTAACAGTTTGTCTCATTCACATCTAGATGTTTTTTAAGGATGTCACATCTAAGCTCCCACAAATATATAATGCAACAACAAGAAACAAAAAAAAACTAGGACAAAAAAATAGACCATAAACAGAGTGGATATCAGCTTAGATGTGACATAAATATGTCACATCTAGATGTGTCCTAAACAAACCCTTATCTAATGGAATCTGGCGGAATAAATGTTGAGCTTGCTCGCCGCAGTCGGGTCGTCACTGGTCAGATCCCGGCGTGCGTGCCCCGCTGCCAGGCAGGCACTGCCTACACCTGACGCCTGCTCCTGGGTGTAGGCTGGCTGTCCTGTCCAGGTGCTTCTGGTCTTGTTCGTATTTGGAAAATCTATTACTGTATTTGCGTCAAAATTAGCCCAGAAGCTGGCACGTCGCGCGCGGTACTGCCGACACGAATAGATGGGCAGGCAGGCTTCTCCATAACGACCATTAATAGTTGCTCCTGTAGTGCCCAAATAAGTTTTAGGCCTCCTTTGGTTTGGTTTAGAGGAATTTTATAGGAATTCTAAAGGATAGGATTTTTATAGGATTTTTTCCTTTAAAGCCCTTTGGTTTATAGGAATGGATTCCTATTCCTACATAGGATTGGTTCCTATCCTCCACATTTCATAGGAAAATAAAAATGAGCCTAGACTCAATGAAAAAATTCCTTTGGTGTCAAACAAATGACATCTTGTTTCCTATTACTACTCATAGGATTTGAGATACATGTCATCTCATTTCCTACAAGATTCCTATTCCTATGATAATCCTATCCTTGAACCAAAAGAGGCCTTAGCTGCTCTTATAACAAAGGAATCCATATTTACAATGAAAATTTGACCAGATTTTTTTATGTGCGATTTGAATAGACATACATTTTCACAAATAAATTGTTCAAGGTGAATTATTGCCACCCCCTGTGTCCGCTCCATTTTGGTCCGGCCCATTTCGGAATTCCTTCTCCGCCGCCGGTCTTGGGAAGGTTCTAGAACACCTTCCCCGAGCCTTTTTTCCCTTTGTTTATTCTTTATTCTTTATTATTTTCCATTTACATTTTTTCCTTTTTCGTTTTTCCTCTATTGTTCTGTTTTTTCCTTTTCTCTCCCTTTTTTTCTTTTTACTTTTTTGCGGCCATCTTTCAAATTTTTGAACATATTTTCTCGAATCTTGAACTATTTTTCAAAGTAATGAACATTTTTTGAACTCGTGAGAATTTTTTAAATTCACGAACATTTGTTAAAATCATGAACATTTTTTAATTGACATTTTTTTTACAAATGTGCAAACATTTTTGGAAAAAAGTGATCATCTTTTTGAAACCCGTGATAATTTTAATTTTAATCGATGAACATATTTTTGGTAATTGGGGGATTTTTTTTGTTAAATTCACGAACAATTCTTTTGTTTAGATGAACATTTTTTTGAAATGCATAAACATTTTTCGAATAGGTGATTTTGTTTTTATCAGCAAACATTTTTTTGAATCGATGAACTTGTTTTGTAAATTATGAACATTTTTCATTTTTCCCTATTTCTTTACAAAATTCATGATTGTTCTTGAATTTGCGAACATTTGTTCAATTTCATAAAATTTCCAAAATACAAGTTTTTTTACAAAAATCATGAACATTTTTTGATTTCCCAAAGTTTTTTTTCAAAATCATGAATATTTTTTGAATATGTGTACACTTTTGTAAGATCGTGAACATTTTATGATTTCTTTATATTTTTTTTCCAAACACACACTTTTTAAAATTTTGTAACCTTTTGTAATCCCAAAATATGTACTAGAATACAAATATACACTGAAAAGAAAAAAGAATTAAAAAATTTGACTTTCAAAATGGGGCCCGGAAAATGGGCAGGCCCAAACGGGTGCGCTGGGGGACCGAATGGTGCATGTTGCATTTCCTTCCAGTGCGCAGCGCGTCGAATAGGGGGAGCTCCTTTTTTTTCGAGGGGTAATAGGGGGAGCTTCTATTCAGCGCTTTAAGTGCTAGCCCAGCAATCTGCTGAAAAACAAACGCGATGGAAAAGTTTCAATTTATTTCGAGTGAAGTGGGGCTCGAACAACAGAAGCCAAAGTCCACCGCACCGCGCACTAACCACTAAACCAGGCTCAACTTTCTTGCCTACAGAGAGTAAAGAGATATCGTTAACCCTTCCTTTAGTGCAA